AATGTCTGTTGCTGCAAGAATAGGTATGCAGTATTTATTTTCTTCCATAAACAGTAATTTCTTTTTAATGACATTCTTACTAAAAATGGGATAAATGAAATTCAAAATTAAAAATGTATTTTACTTTTAAAATTCAATTGATTCAATTGATTTGGGAAAACAAACTTATGCAATAAAGTGTACAGTGTAATTTCGTAAAGTTTATTTTAATTAACATGTTTAACACTTCATTGCCTGTGTTAAAATCTGTCATATACACCTACTGTTCCGTCGATTCTACCAGAATATGGAAATAGTTTTAATATGATTAAGTATCTAAGTTTACGAAGAAGGACTTGAAGCTTGAGTCGGCCGTAGTAAAGCTTTTCTGTTGCTGTCTTGCGTCGTGAGAGATATTTCGATCAATTGGCGAGCTTTTCGTTTGATTTAATATTTATAGTAGCGCGATTTGTCAAGCCAGGAGTTAGGATCTAACTCAAACTTTTGAATTGTACATAATTTAACACATTGTTATTTGTCATTTCCTCGAGAAGCGAACAAAGTTATGTTAGTTAGTTTAGTCTAGTATTTAAAGCTGAAGTCAACAATCAAACTTTAATTATCTCATATTTTTTATATATACTTTGTTTTGATTCTCGTAGTTAAGACGGGACAAAAATTCATCCGGCAGTAAAGAAAAGCTAGACTAATATTCTGATAAAGCCTAGAACGATTTTAACATTGTACCTTTGTGATACTAGATCAAGAGCGAAAAAAAACCCGTATTTCAAGCTTGCAGTAAGGCTGTATTTTCTATGTTAAAAATATTTATGTAAACTTAAGCTCCTGTGGTAAAAGATGGGCAAACTATATAAAACAGAAAGTACAGGAAATACATTATACTAACTCGTGAACTACCTAATTTAATGACAGCATACTCAATTTCGTGATAGTGTAATCCACTTACACTGTACTCACTGGCACCGTTTATATCATTATCACTGCCGATGCAAATGATTTAGATTCCAACACTGCTACCAGCAGCTTGATTCAGATGAACCAAGGTGCTTGTGGAAGCATTGCAAGCAGAAGCAGCACAATACCCAGGAGCTACGATTCTTTCCATAAATGTATCTCTCGTTACAGGTACAGCACAAGTCATCCATTCGGGTCTGCATTTCCAGCGGGCACTTGTTTTCACGTTCTTGAACGGAAAGTTGTCATTGCCTCCATACAATATTCTTCTTCTTTCTTTTGCTATTTTGCACACCAGATGTCAAACTTGGTTGACATAAAAAAAAAAGTTTTTTGCGCCTGGACGATTAAGTTCACTTATTTTACTTCACCTTCTGATGAAAATGCAAATGGTTGTCCTAGGTTTCCAATGCTCACATTGCCCTTGTCGCCACAACCGCAATTCGTGTAGACTTTCAGAATGCTTCACGGAACAGACAAATATTTGGACCATTTATAGATAATCCACCTTCCATCTAACACTTTTTAACTTATCTATCATAGAAATCTTCCTTCTGATGACATCAAGGGTGTAACTAGAGTTCCCAGCGCCCGGGGACAACTTAAGAATTTGCGCGCCTTTCTATGTGCCAAGAATGGAAAACATTTCATTAAAAAATTTCGCAGCATCAATTAGGCGCTCCTTGGATGCTGCGCCCAGGGACAGATGTCCCCCCTTGCCCCACCCTAGCTACGCCGTTGGATGACATGCCGTGTTTTGGTTGCTGCTCGCTACCTTTTTCACTAACTTGCTTTATATTGGAGCGATCTTAGAACAAAAATTTGTAAAAATTTGATGCAAAATTGCATTACTCTCGAACTACTTTTGTAATCAAAATTATAACTAAATATACTTTTAGAACAGATTTATGTAACGACATTTACAAAACGAAATTACTAGCACACAAAATATTTACTTCTTTGAAGACCACTAGACTGCAATTTTTACCTTGTACACCATCTAACATCAGAACTGTAAGTGGCATCAGAACTGTAATCTTTATCTGCAAATGCTTTTCACCGTACTGCAATATCCTTACCACATCTTCAGAAACGATTTAACTCAATGCACAATACGTATTTCGCTCAAATGATATCACGAGGTTAATCAGATTTTGCTAAATACCCTTAGACAGTAAGAATTGCAATTAAAGCCATTGTCTAAAGAAATACACTTGAAATCATTAGTTAAAACTGACAGTCGTTTAATAAATGTTAGACACTTCTAAAAGTTCTATTACATAATTATAATTTTTAACTAAAATAAAGGTTTCCTCAGTTATTTCTTAATTAACACCACACGCTAGCATACAAGAGAAATACTACGAACAAATATGCCATTGACGGCTGACCTGAAATTACATTGAGACCTCTCATGGTGACCACCTCTGAAAGTGATTTGTATTTTTGATAATGCAAATAAACATTGGCATTGAGCAACACTGTTAGTCAAATTGTCTAAAGGGATCCACTCCATGGAAGACTGAAGTTCTCTGAAACAGCGGGGTATTGCCTTAGAAAGGCTTTATTGCAATTTCTATCTAGGATCTAACAGTGCAAATAGATAATAAATTATTCTACAGTAATTTCCTTGTGTGCTTGCTTGATTAAACAGATTTATAACACTGAATACTGATTTAAAAAAATCGCGCGCGCACACATACACACACACGAGATAAAAAAAAACAGAACTTAACCTCTATATGATCAGCAGATTTAGTCTATTCTACTGAATGATTAATACTAATTACTTTCTAGAGTACAAGTATGGAAATCTTAGTTTGAGAGCACTATTTACTTGTGATAATGAAATGTTTATATTTGTTCGAGAGTTTAAATTAAGAGAATATGAGATGCTTATTGTAACTCTGATACTAATTTATTAAGGTACAGAAACTCACAAATCTTTTGATCTCTAATAAACATGTCTCATAGCAGTTATGCATAATGCTAAAGTAATGGAATGAAATAAAATAAAAATAAAATAAAATAAAAATCAAATAAATAATAAATCAGTACCATCAAATGGACATCCTGAAATTTTACTCATTAGACAGAATTACTACAAGGATTTACGTTAGAAAGAGCATGTAACTTCTGCATCGCTATTCTAGAATTGAAAAACAGATTGTTTTCGAAGTAATCCGAGGTAACAGAAAAGCTTTACGACATTCCGCTTCTCACCGGATATAATGTAATCAATCCAATCCTGTCTACGAGTTTCTTTCCTAAACACTGACTTACTTAAATTGAAATACAATCAACACTGAATTGCTCTTAATTATCTAGAATAACGAGCGAAAAGGATTGCCTAAATGGATTAAATTCCTTTAAAACGATATCCATTGTTAGAAAGTACTCTGTATCATTAAACTAACATTATCAAAAAGTAAAGAATTAAAAAAGTAGACTACAAATTTTATGGGTTATGCATATTTTACATTCTAAAAATGAGTAGTCTAATGTTTCGTATTCTGTTGGTCGTTCTCTTTTCTTTACGAAGCTTTCATCCTATCGTGCGCCGGAAGTGTTTACTTTGTTTTAGTTTCTCTCATGGCTACTTTCTAAGCATTCGGCATGTCTTAAAAGACAACACTAGTTTATATTGCATATGCTCCTGTTCGTTAAATACTTGAAAAGTTTCTACTTCGCATCCTATAAAAACATGTGTTTCGGTTAGCTAGTCATTATAAACAGACAGTTAATTCGCTTTTGTAATCTACAGCTGTGACTTCAAGCTGTAAATTTGGAAGTGTTTCGGATGATTTTAAACGTATCTTGTACAATGTACTAGTCCCTGACATTTTCAGTAATATCATTTTCGAGTAAATGTTTACCCAACATTTAAAAGCATTAAAAGAAGCCTTATTTTACCTCTTTTGAAATCGTTCGCTATTTGGATAGCAGGTAAAAATTCTACATGAGTTGGATGGGCTTGAGTCGCGTAAGTTCTACACTACGAACTAGCTAGTTGCAACCGCAGTTGGTATAATGTTAGCTAATGGTGATAGGCCGAAAAATTTTTAAATTTTTTTATAATTTTTGCTAGTGATATTTCTTTTAGAGCTGTATTTAAGTTCAGTGTTTGTGAAAGTTTTCGGGTAATACGTGAAAGAGTTAAGTAAAATATACCGAATCATTGATTTCTAGCTCAAACTATGGACAGACAGAAAGACTAAGAAACTCTTCGCAAGAGATTGCTGCGGAGCATACTCCGATCAGCTATGAAGTCGTTTAAGTTTTTTACTGCCTTAAGTTTTACGCGTAGACCAGTTATCAATATATTTATGATGTAGTCTCAACCACTTGTCCATCATACTCTTTAAAGCTTTATATTTTCATGAGAAAATAAGAAATATATCATAAAAATTAGATATATCCCAAGTATTTCTGTTTGTACAAACGTAAAAAATTATATCTGTCATTCCAAAGCGGAATATTGTACAGTTTCAAAAGAATTAGCAAAATGAACACTGGAAAATAATGTATTTTGCCGGTCTTGTATTCTTTTAAAGATTGGTATTCCAAAAGAGTGGGGCTTACGAATCCTCGAATCAAGAGACTCTTAAAAAGAGGATTCGAGACTCTAAAACTCGAATTTCGCACTTTTTACCTCATTCCAATATCTTGAAGCATAAACCAAATTAAAAAAAGTTTGAGTTTAAAACCTTAGCAAGATTAGATTTATAATGTGATGTATTTGTTTTATCAAGTGCTCTTATGACACCTTTTGTAAAAGAATGCCATCGTTGCAACTTCAATTGACGTGGATCACCATTAGCAACTAGTGGTGGAACTAAGTGCCACGTTCTTAAATTTCTTAAGAGAATTTTGTGCTCATCTACGCTAACTCTTGAAATAATCCTCCCCTCCTTCGTACACTTGTTTTGATTTCAAAATATTCTGGAAAAAAGTAAAAAATTCTAACTGCAACTCAAATGTATTTCATTAAATTATATTGAGGAGATTAATCTCATTCAATACGTTAATAATGAAGCTCTACTCACCTGAAATGCAAGGCATAGCGTTAGAAGTACAGTCATCAGCATCATGCCACCCAATCCAACTAGATGCAGAGTTCGGCGACCAGCGCGTTCAACTAAAATCAGGGATACTAATGTCATTACCACATTTATGCTACCCATACCTAGGGTAGCATTCAAAGCGTCTTTGTCACTAAGTCCAGCGCTTAGAAATATGTCAGTTGAGAAGAAAATTGCCTGTAAGTAGAATTATTCATTATTTAAATATTGGCTTTTTAATTAATTATAGTTGCATAAGTTACCGTATTTGCCGGAGTATAAGACGCACCACCCATTTTTATACACATTTTTCAAGGATAAAACTTTATTACTGATCATTAAGTCTTTATTACTGATTACTGATCAAATTCCTCTAAGTTCTTATCATTTTCTCAGTTGGAGGTGGTTCGAATGCCTCTCTGCAGCCCTGTTTCCATGTTCTAGCATACGCAATCACACGTAGCTTGTATGCTATGTTATAGCAATGCCGACGTTGTTTTTGAGCCATAACTTGTCAATAAATTTAAGAAAACTGAACAGTAGAAATTTCACACACTTAAAAGTCGTTCAAAAACCTGGGAAGTTTAAACGAACCTAGCTGTGATCGTTGATGACACTGCATGTGCATTCACTGAGCTCTACGCAACTGAAATATTCCCACACTCCGCAAGGAAACAAGAAAAAAATCGCATAACTCCAAATAGAGGAAATTTCCAGAAATAAATGTAATCAAAAACTAAGTATCGGCGTATAAGATGTACCCCGTTTTTCAGAGCAATTGTCAAAGAAAAAAGTGCGTTTTATACGCCGGAAAATACGGTATATTGTAAGATATTATTTTGAATTTAACGAACTAGTTAAAACTCTACAATGCATTCTTTCAGTTCACATTTTCCGATTCACATCTTTTGCTCGTACGCACATCGTATAAGCGTAAAAAAGACGATACACACTGCCATCAAAATTTTGGCACTTTGTAGCCGATTCCTGCAATGACGTTTTGCACGACTGTTTAATGCCTTATAATCTGACTGGCTATTTGGAGTAAATCTAGTATAGTAATCTGACTGGCTATTTAGTGAGAGTAATTCTGACTGAGTTTGAGTAAATCTCAGTCACTTAAGTCTGAGTAAATCTGACTGGCTACAGTGTGAGTAAATCTAGCTAGGAGGCCTACCGAGTCTTATATTACATTTGAACTTAATTCCTACCTAAAAAAAGAATTTTTCAAGAGATTGAGAATTTAATTTAGTTCTTCAGAGATTAGAAATTAAAAGCCTTTTTTCTTTGGTATGAAAACTCCATTGATTGCTAGATTTGTAGAGTATTTTCTCCTTTCATACCGTGTGCCTTTGTGGTATATTTAGAAGCCAGGCCGTCTAGCAATTAAGAGGTTTCGAGTTCGAATCTCGGCGAATAAAACTGTTGATTTCTCTAGTTTTCCGGTTTCTGAAAATTGTAAAACGCTGTACAGTGGAACTCGAATCAAAAGGTGCGGATAGATAATTCGTCACCACTAGGATTTGGAGACTGGGTCCCCATCTTTCTACTCGTTCTTCAAGTGGGGGGAGAATGTAAGATACCTTCTCCCTCCTTACCACATGCCTTAGTAGTGTAATTGGAAGCATGTTTGACTGGCAATAGGAGGTCGGGAATTTGAATGCATGTGAGGTTACCGCACATTTTTCAAATTTCTAGCTCCAAAAATAAATTTAATTACCCTGCAAGCAATAAATGTTTTACTTATTGTTACTGCCGTTTGTACGCACATTTTTCTTTAACATTTTATGGCTATAGAAACTGTTGTGACGCACCGAAAGCTTAGTTCAAGCAGTAAAAATTAAGGCTAGATCTCATAATATTAATTTAAAAGTATTGCTGTTATTTTCAAAACTTGTTATTGCTGCGAGTTTTCAGAAAACTATGAAGGTTGTTGATTGAAAGGTGATTTCTTTGAGCAGCATTAATGTGCTTAAACCAGTTAATGTTTATTAGTACAAGTATTGGATGGCCATAAAATAACACTTTCTATATACGAGCATCTAACGACAGCACGGTTCTACAAATCGGAATGAAACTCGAGCTAAAGCTTGCAAAGTGTGTAACTAAAAACAATAGAGCTCTTACGGTTACAAAAAGAATAATTTCAAAAATTTACAACAGCAACTCCTATTTTTTGGTAGCGTAGAGTAATTAGCACAGTGAAAAGTCTTAAATGTTATTGGAATGACTATTGAAGCTCAAAAACGCCAGCGCAAGTGTTCTAAGCGAAAAAAAAAAAAAAAAAAGTGTGGAAACGGCAAAAAAGAAAAGAAAGTCAATATGTAACGGTGAGAACGCCTGCATTTGCACCACAGCAATCGGACTGAATGTACAATGCAAAAAATAACAGGAGTTAATCATATAGGCAGTGGCTGCCGCCTTTTGTAACACATCCATATGACGTTTACGCAACGTCTAGATGACGTACTACGATCGGTGGTAGCCACCTGGTTGTGTAACTGGTTCCTGTGATTTTGTGTACCGTAGATGCAATCTCACAGTCATGATGAAAATCGCACGCATTCACCATGTATGTGTATCGCCTTTTCTTTTTTTCTTTTTTCTTTTTTCGTTTTGATGCTTCCATTCTTCTTTGCCACTGCTTTGGGTGTCGACAGTTTTTCACGCTTCAGGGACCATGCCATTGCCAGGTACGATTTTTTATTATACCAATCATATTATGATGCAAAAAAAAAAAAAAGTTACTATTAAAATTTTTCGAAACGTTTACTCTGTGACTGTAATCGTAAAAGCTTGATTATTGTACACTTGAGTGCATCCTCTTACGTCTCGAGTTCCATTCCGATTCATCAAACAGTGCACTAGCTAGGATCTCATGTATAGGATTACTAGTTACATGTCGCATTTTGAATTCAATAGCTACTGACATAACTCGCAGTTCTGCTTGATTCAAATAAATAACACAGCAAAACTCCTTACATAACTAGAATAGAGGCCATTCAGATATACGAAAGATCCCGATAACTGGTTAGTTTTTTTTATTGCAACGTAAGCAAGGAAATTTTATTCCTTATTTATTGTATTTTATTTCAGTAAGAATACAGTTAAAATATTATTTTATCCATAAAATAATACCAAAAAAACCTTCTTTTTCTGACAAAATTACGTAATGAAATTTATTTTTATTTGCCTCACCACACAATCAGTTTTTTCTTAACTAAAATAACACAATAGAATTATTATTATTATTATTTTTTACTTAAATCAGCCTTAAATCTGAATACACAAGCTTGATTCTGTTTTTAGGGTAAATTTAAGAAAGAGCTTCAATAGAAACATATAATCTAGTCCTTTTCAGCTAAAATTAAATTAAGTAATGATTTTTATTGACGTAAAGTTATAAACGTACAATATAATATCTATTATTAAATATTTTGCATTTTAAGTTTATGATAAATTTATTAATTCAATCATAAGGATCAGGAAATAAGTTCTTTTTTTTTTTTTTGCTGAAATATATTTTCAGCAGCCAAATCTAGTAATCACTGAATCTGGAGCAGATGAGCTGCATTGCATTCTTCCTATCGCTCTTCTATACTCTTTCCTTTCATAGAGAGGAAACTCGTATACCTCCATTTGGTGTGTTTAGCATTTTTCAGAAAAGGAGTACTTGTTATGGCTAAGCAATGGCTTACAATCAAATTAACACCTTCACAAGTCTACAGGCAATAAATACATGTATTTTTGTCAATGTTCATAAGCTATAAATTTTCCGAAAACTGCAGAACTAACTACATGTCATATTCAAGAAGCTTATAGCGCCACGCAGTTGCTCAGCGTAGACGTTATCCCACCTCCTGGTGGACGCTGAGGTAATCTAGGGGGCGCTGCGTGTTGGAGGGGTAATGAGAAGGCACTGGGGAGCCAGTGGATATTCATTCATAACAGCATGCTTGAAATATTTTTTAACAAAAAAAAAAAAAAAATCAAACATTCACTTGATGATATAATTATTATACTCACATATCTTTGCAAGAATCCTGTGAGTCAACATTTCACACACGTTGCTGCAAATTGCATAAATATGCAACATGACAGGCAAAATGCAGCGCCGTGAAAACATGGTCAGAAAGTGATGGAAATCGGCAAAAGGAGAGACCTCATAACGAAGAATGTGCGGTGCTTTTATAAAAAGAGCGAATAAATAATTCAGTAAGTTTCAGGATCAGTGATTTGTAGGAGCACTGTTGGCTGCGATACAGGCAGCAACACATCTAGGTAAAGACGCAATACGCGTGTGGATTGTTTCCTGAGGGATATATGTTCTTTCCCTGTTAACCATTTGCCCCAGTTCGTCTTCTGAAAGCGGCGTTGGCAACGCACGCAAGCGACGTCCAATCACATCCCAGACATGTTCGATGGGTGGGAGATACGGGGAGGGAGGTGGCCAGGGAAACCCCTGGGGCAGGGCATATTGACTGACCCTCGCCATGTGAGGTCTGGTGCTATCCTGTTGGTAAATGGCATTCGGCATTCACTGAGGGAAGGGTAGTGTTACCGAATCGAGCACTACATCCACGTATAGTGCGTGTATGTACCGAATCGAGCACGACGTGCACGTACTAGTGGCCCGTCATACTGCCAATAATACGGACTGGTGGCGATATGCTATAGTAGGCGGCGGCTCAAACCATAACGGCGCGTTATCGCTCAGTGTGGCGTTCCACAGTTGCTGCCGAAATGGACCTGTTAGGACGTCGCCGCCAGACTCGCGCACTTGCCACAAAATGCGGACCGAATTGGCACGCAGGGTCATCACTGCATGCGTGCGAATGCATCGGTCCACGAGTACTAAAGTCATTCTGGCAGCACCGCTATCTCTGGAGCGTGCCACATTCTTTTCTTCCAAACATCTTCAACATAGCCAGTGCACCGCAGACGTGTTCAGGTGCCTGTCCTCTGCGATTCAGCGCAGAGACCAATCTGCCCTTCTCAGTCCGTTCACCATACTTCTGATGTACTCGTCTGTCTGCTGGAAATGCCTCAGTTGTCGATATCCTGGCATTCTCCGTAGTGAAGCTTCCTCTGCGATAGAAAAAAAAAGCAAAATGATTACTTTGCCCGACGAACAGCTATTGTCCCTTCTGTAGATTCCTTCCTTTATTTCTCGCCCTAAAAATGCCATGCTTAAAGTATATAACGATAGAAATATCTCTATATATACAGTAGTAGCTTAGTGTACGTCATTAATCCATCCTTAGATTTATACCGGTATGGACGTTTATCAGACAAACTTTTCGAATAAAATATGAAGGGAAAATCAAGGTCACTAGACAAATAAGATTAGGCTCTTCCCAGTGCTGACGTCACTTCCTTATCACAGAAGTGGAAGAAACGAAAACCCAAAGGGAGTAGAGATCTTGCTTTTGAGCAGACTTTAAAAGTCAGTAACATCATACAAGAGAAAAAACTGTAGTATATTAGCCTTGGGGAAAATAATTTATCCAGACTTATAAAAAAAGTTCTCTTATTAATATTACACTGTTTAATACTAAAACGAAAATACAGTAGATGAAATATATATTGTACATAAATGAAAATCACCAAATTTATTTACCTCTTTGTAATGGAGTTCACCCCCTTCGTAACGTTTACTGATAATAGTGTCTTTGATTTTCTTAACCGTAGATACCAACCATTCTCAGCATACGGTAAGCCTAGTACCAGATATGAGGCATGTCATGTTCATACTTTTTAACAATCACCTTCTTCACCTCCATAATGATTCTTACGATTTCTTTGCTTGACTACACTCATTGACCTTCTTGAAACTAATTAACGAATTTACAAGAAATTTACTCGAAAGAGCGCAAAATCATGCGAAAATTCAGAGTTATAGCTCGGGTTGTTTACTGAGTAATAGCAAAATGAGTACTGACGCCAGTGATCAATTTTAGTGCTGTCTGGAAAATAGGTAAATAAAGGTAGTGCGCTCATTTATGACTCATAGAATTCGAGTCGTATTCCGAAGAAATATTTCATACCAAACAAAACTTTTCGTGTCCAGACAGGACGTAAATCGAGTTGAATTTATTTTAAAGAGGACGTATACCGAAGTATCATTGCATATTTTGAACTAATCATAGTTGATGACTATTTACTGAAACAGATTGATAAGTTAATAATAATAAAAATATACGTAACAGACGTGTTTTTAATCTTTGCTGATGTCTCGTGAAAGATTTTTAAAAAGTTACGCGAGAATAATAATCTGAAGTTTGTCGAAGCAAAAAACATGAAAACTGGGAAGCCTTTGCGGGATCTGAACTCCTATACCTCCTGATTGCTAGTCGGACGTGCTTCCAATTGCACCGCAAAGGAACGCAGCAAAAAATAGAGAAAATACCCTATAAGGTACTTAAATCTCGTTCTTTGAAGTGATGGAAATTAAAAAATCCGTTCACGGGCAGAGTTTGGATAGAAAACAAGAGGAAATATTTCATGCAATCAGCCAGTTTCATCCGAAAACGAGCCAGGAGGAACTATCATTATTCAGAAGTTTTATTTATTTATTAAATTGGTGAATTTACGTAAAAATCAAGTACAGCAGTTTTAATTCAAATTCAAAAATTATGCTGAGCCTTCAGTTAGCAATAGCTCGAAGATTAAAAGGAAAAAAAATGTATTTTCAGTACACAGCAGTTTTAACTTTTACTTCATTAATTTAAACTAATACATAATTAGAAGTCACTTAAACAAAGCAACAACATAACTGTTAAAATTCAGGTAAGGTAACAATAGGAAAATATGAAACAGAGATCCAATTCTATGAAGAAAATATTATGGCACAAAGTAGTTACTGAGTGTAGAGGATTAGAATACATACACCGAGAAAAGCATTTTTATACATTAAATATCGGATTATTGAAACCTAATAAAATGATATAATAAATAAATGAAATGAAATATTTACCAATGAGCAAACTTTACACGAGAAAAAATCATATAATTTCTTAACATGCACATTTGTTGCAGTATTAGGAAAAAAAAAAAAAAGAAAAAAGAAAAAAGAAAGCTTACAGCATTTATACCAGACAGTTGCTGCGATAACATCACCATTACAGAAATGAAAAGAGGAGTCCGCAAAACAGGATTATGCCACATTTCATGAAGTGTGACCTGAAAATAAACATCCTAAGTTTTAAAATTTGCTTTGCTTTATAAGTCAAGAAATCATAAATGACAGAAAATTTAGCAGATATTACCTTTGGAACGAGTTTCATTGCTTCGTATTCTGCTCTCATTTCATCCATTTCATCGTGAACCTCAATAGTACCTCGAAGCCAGGTTAGAGCTATAACAAAAGCGGCGAGTTAAAAAAATGCTGCGTTTAGATGCATAAATGTATATTTCCAAATCTAAGATGCTTATTATTAAGGGAATTTTGTTCCTTTTTTAAAATGCAGTTTTTGAAGAATTATTCTACGCAGTAATTTATTTTAAATTCACATGTTTAGAATAGTAAAAACGTATATATATACATGTGTGTGTGGTATTATTGAAGAAAAGAATATTGAAGGTTGTATCTTATACATATGTGTGTGGTATTATTGAAGAAAAGAATACTGAAGGTTGTATCTTCGAGTGATAAGATATGTTATTTTCGCTATGGAAACGTTTTAATGCTGATTTTAAGGATCGAAAAGCACATGAGGATTATCCACATTTGCCCCATCCCAATTTTGATTTGAAATTTTCGGTATCGGGGTGGGAACGAAGTTACATTTTTTTGGTTAGCAAAATTGTCGTTCGACAGATTCTATGTGCTCCGTTTCAGGGAAGCTTATTTGCAGCTGAGACCAATGATGTGAAAATGGCACAGCTTCATAACGGTGTCCTGTCATAAAGGTGACGATACTTGTTTTTACGCAAGTTGGCAAAAGTTCGAAAGGAACAGGGGCCTTCTTAAGAGTGCCTTGGCATAATGATGCCCTTGCCCTTATGCAGATCAGTCTCTAATTGGTAAAAAGCAATCTGCATAAAGGTGGGGGCATTCATATGCCAGGGACTGGTATAGAATATATTGCGTAGCTGGCTGCGAAAGAAACATTGTAAATCTAAAGATCCAGTAATTTAATCCCAGCTGCATAAAATTAAATGTTATAAAACACTTTTGTAATTCCATGCAAAATATGATTATTTTGCCTGGAATTAGTCCTAGTCATTTCTTGTAATTAGCAATACAGCGAGCTCAGGTTTTGCGAATATCTGCTTAAGATGTTGTATAATTCTTAAGATCTCTGCGTCAACAATGTATCAACACAACAGAATTTGCAATGCGGTAAGCCATATCTCGCGGCTCTCGATTACTTTTATCATATTTAATGCAGAACTGTAAATGTAAAATAATGCTATACGTCCCATTCGATGTGACGCACGTCATGCAAGAACTGCTGCTGAGGAACAGTGAAAACTAATGGAAAGCAAGAAAAAAGCCTACTTGTTTGATAAATACTATAAATTTTTTAATTCAATAATATTTCCATTGCTCTTTGATTAAATTACTCCACGCCTTAGAAATTCTGTAACATGTGTTTCAGTGTCCCAGATACCGTTAGATAATTGCATCGCTAGCATTAAAATTATAATCAGCCTTAATTTGAAGCAATCATATTACTGTTAATTTGCATTTAAATATGTGATACATATAAATATGTAAGATTTAAGTAACACATTGTTTCTTGCTCTGAATATTTCATGTTTTTCTGTTGCTTCATCTTTTCTAACAGAAGAATGAACTGAGTAAATGAACAGTAAATGAACTGAATTTAAACACCAAGTGAGAATCTAAGTTTAGAGAAAAAGCTTCGCCAGCCTCCGCCGGGAATACAATAATTCTATTTTCTTCTAACTGGTGTGCTGATGGTTGAGGAGTTTAATTCTAGTATTTACGTGAAAACGTGCCATATCTCAGAAGCCAGGCTTTTAGGTTTTAATATTTTAATTTGTAAATATAGAGCAGCTGTTTTATTTCCGGGCTACAAGCAGCAGAGGTTTGCCGCCCAGCCGCTATAGAGGTTACTGACCCTAACTGCCGTAGCGATAGGCCCAAGTTCGAATCCCGGAGAAGGCATTGGTTGCAACTGTCCGTCCCTTCATACGAGCAGGAGGCAACGGTGGCCACCTGTTAGGTGCTTCCATAATGAAATGGCCACCATTTCCGGCCCTCGTAGTGGCGCAAGGCTAATGGCTATTAAATAAAGCGCCAGACCATTAAAAAAAAAAGAAAAAAGAAAAAATAGAAAAGGTTTAGTTTGCTATTATTCTTAGCTATAAAGTTCAAGATGAAGTACAAATAAATGTTTTAATCGATTTTATACGTTTGTTACATCACTTTGTGTTTTCGTATTCTAAGATGGGAACAGAAAGTCACGCGAAAGGTTAGTTAGGTTATTAGTTAGATGGTATTTATAAATGACCCAGCGTTATTTGGCCTAAATTCAAAAATAGTAATTTGTAGTTCTGAAAAAGGTTTATCAATTTTAAAGCTGATTTAAATACTAGTGGTCAAAAATTCCTGTTACACATGGTATTAGGAAAAGGTAGCTAAAGGTTTCTAATACACAATTATATTAAAATAGTTTCATTGCCGGGGGATGAGAAGACTACAAACGTAAAATTTAACTTTTTAGGTGGTCCAATAAGATAAAGGAATTAAATAAAATTTTTATTATGTTTTAATAAACTGAAAATAAAATCTTTACCAGCAAAATTCGTAGAGAGAGAAATTATTTCAACGTCGAAGAGGCACAATTCATTTCAAAATTAACTGTTCTAAACTGAATAACTCATTATTAATTTCGTAGATGGTTCCATGAAATAATTTCTATTATCTAGGAGAATTTTGCATGCAAACAAATAGAAATTTTAATCTCGTGTTTATTGTTTTATACACTGACTACCAATAAGTATTTGGACACCTGTGATAGAAAAGAAAAACTAACTTTATTCAAAATCTATAGTTGGTAGAGCCTCCACGAGAGGTAATTACAGCGTGGACCTTCCGGGGCATACTTTCCACAAGTCTTTGTATGACAGCTAGTGGTATTTTCTTCCACTCGGCTTGGAGAAGACATAGAAGTTCCTTCACCGATTTTGCACGGGTAGTGCACCCCTGAATTCGGCGATGCAACTCGTCCCAGAGGTTCTCGATAGGGTTCAGGTCTGGGACTCTGGACTCTGGGGCAGGCCAGTCTATTCGATGAACTCCATTGGCACCATACCAAGCCTTGGTTAACGTCGAAACATGACAACTGGCATTGTCGTCCTGAAAGTAACAGGGGTCCAACCCGTAAAACTGCCACAACGTAGGAAGCACATTGCCATCCAAAATAGTGCAGTAGGCATCGGAGTTGAGCTTACCATGAATGGGGACCAAGGGTCCCAGCCCATACCAGGAGAAACACCCCCAGACCATAATTCCACCTCCGCCGAACTTGACTGTTGGCACAATGCATTCTGGCAGGAGACATTCTCCAGGTAGACGCCAGACCCAGACCCTGCCATCCGAGCGGTAAAGGGTCAACCTTGATTCGTCACTCCAAAGAACCCGTTTCCAATTCATACGGTCCAATTTCGATGTGCTTTGCACCATATTAACCGAGCAGCGCGGTTGGACTTTGTGATCAAAGGCTTATGGCACCAGCACGACCATGAAAACCAAGCAGATGTGCTTTCTTATGGATGGTATTCATTGAAACAATACTCCCGGATGCCTGTTGAAACTCCTCGCGGATGAGGGCTATCAGTTGGGTGCGGTTCTTCCGAATTTCTCTGGACAGCACTCGTCGGTCTCTATCTCCCAGTTTCGTTGGTCTGCCGACTCGGGGCACATTCTGACAATCACCTCTCACCTTCCACCTCTTAATCACATAGGCAACTGTCGATTTTGGGTACTTCAGATCGCTAGATATGTCCCTTAAGGATCGGCCACATTTGTGATATTCGATAATTATACCTTTCTCGAAATCAGAGAGCTCCGAACTGCGAGGCATCTTGCATGCGACTAAAGCCGATGATGTTTCCTACACGATATATACCGGCGGAGTCCGTGACGTACCTTAGGGCCGCAGATATCGTCATTTGCATAGGTGTCTAAATACTTATTGGTAGACAGTGTAGTAAGATGGACCATTTACTAATTTGACTTTTTTCTGTAAGGGTATAAGGTATTTCTCTCGCCTTCTTAGCCTGCCTTCGTATTGTAGTGGTCTGCACGCTGGGCGCGTATTCCAAAGGTCCGTGGTTCGATTCCCGGCGAAGGCGTTGCTCATTTTTTATCTCTCCTGCTCTCAAAAAATACCTAATGTCTCTACAGTGGCGCCTGAACTAAAAGGGTGGTGGAGGATGATTCCCCCCACCAGGATTTGGCGATTAGATCACATAAAAACCCCAGTCGCCCTTTAAGAGGGGGAGTATATAAGGTATTTTTTCTTCCTTCTTAGCATGCCTTCGTAGTGTAGTGGTCTGCACTCTGAGCGCGTATTCCAGAGTTCCGTGGTTCGATTCCCGGCGAAAATGAGAAATGTGAAAACTGTTCACATTACTAATTCTGAATCTTTTTCCATGTAATTCTATATTTGTTTGGGGAAATTTCGTGAACGGAAGTTTTTGGTTTAGGATAAATGTTTAGGGAAATAAACCTTATAATCGCCTTTTTCAAATAGCTTGTTTATAAAAGTTTACAAATTGCAACAATAAATATCTCACATAACACAGTAAGTGTATAAAATTGTGTCGTAAACTCTCACAGTATAAACATTTCATTAATATTAACAGAAGGAAAACAACAGAAATATTAAGTTTTTTTGTTCCTTTCCGTCAGATAATCTCAATTGAATTTCCGTTAAAAAGATATCAATGTTATCGTTTTAACATAAGAGAAAATTCCTTCAACTTCAGTTAAAATTTATTCAGCAGTAAAAAATAATTTTAATAAGAATACTTTCTTTTTAACCTACCTTTCTGTGCAGAGACGTCTCTTCCTTGAGTAATTAGAATATATTTTGGTGATTCTGGACAAAGAGGGAGTGTAACTAACATAAATACACACGGAACCATTATCATGGCTGAAAAGGAAAATGCGCTTTAATTAATGACTAAGAAGAGAAAACGTATACATTTAGAGGAACTTAACAACTTTTCCGTAAAAGAAAATATTTGATTTTTATAATGTTTGTTTAGTAATTATGTTCTTCTTTCTATAACATTGCTATATTGATCAACACCTACGAAATAAAGGAATGAAATTTAGGATAAAAAATAATTTCTTTCAGGAATGGCAGCATCCGCATAAAATCTAATTAAATTACCGATTTCTTATAACATCGAAATACAGCATAAAATTTAATATTGTATAAATGTTACCTTTTATTCATTTGTGTCGTAAATCTAGTGATAAAATTACTGTATTAATAACTTCTTATAAAAGGAAAAGAATAAAATGGTAATAATTTCTTTCCTGTCGGAGCACCTACTTTTGTAGTTTCCAAACAGATACAAATGTACAATAACAAATATTACATTACTAACTGATGACGAAGTTAAAACTATCAAGTTTATAAATGTCTCGTAACATCCAAATAAACTACATCTAAGATAATTGCACCCAAAAGTAATTCAAGCATGAAAGCAATCAATCAACTTTTAAGAGATAATTTTAGTCTCCAGTTACACAGCGGGTACTTAAAACACTATTTCTACTTTTGCTGTTAGAAACTGCATGAAGCTCTTTTGTTTCTTTAATCCTCTGTGGGACGTTGAACTCTTAAACAGCGCCCAGACATCCAATACGTAATAATCAATCACTTATATGCTCTTAACAATCATATTAACCAAAATACTAACAATAAAGATACCGAATTTTCGTGTTTCCATACTAAGCGTATAATTTTTATAGAAACTTAAGAAGCTTAGATGATGTTTAGATTTTAGTGACTTGAAAGTTTCCGGAAATTAAAATTTATTTTAATATATAATCAAAACAATGCATATTCAGAATATTTTAAGTTCTGTAAAATATTATTAAGCCTTAATTTTTAGACGGTCTCCATTACAATAAAATGTGTGTAAATGTATTACATAAGCTTATTTAAACAATCCCGTATATGAAATTGTCTAAGCAGCTGAAACGCAATCCACCTGCTTTGTTGCGTCAGCGGTTAACGGCTTTTGTTTATGTTTCTTTCCCAAGTTTTACACCTACCTTTAGATTTCCAATGAAGGTTTTAAACACTTTCTTGCTCCACAATTTTTTCCCTCACTAAGATTTACTCTGATACATCGAGAGAATGCATAAAAATGTTTGAAACTTCCATCAAATGTATAAGGATTTAATAACATAAATAGTGATCAGTAAGAAGAAGCAGATAATAGCAGAGAGATACGTGATTACAGGAAATTATTTACCATCATTATGTTAACTTTTCGGTGCTGGCAAAAATTCTGTTACTTATGTTGTAATAATAAATATCCTGCAAGAAAGATAGCGCCCATCAGCACCCATCATGACCAGTGGACGATTCGTTAAGACTGCTGAATACTGGTAGTTCGACTAAGTTGGAACCCAGACGAAAGGGGTTGTATGATTGGTGTTCGCAGTTTTTCCCGTGTGTAAAATGAGTACGAGCTAGTTTTCCATAGAAGGTCCTCTACAAAGGCATTCTTTAAGCATATAGCCATCGTGTGCCTTATTCAAATAACCTAACCATGATAAACATCTTTTTATTAACCTCTTTGAAAATCAGTTTTTCTGCATATCAGTATTTTCTGCATATCAGCATAAATTATAAGCCATGTTTTAAAAGTAATTGAAATTCTGATGCGGCAGCGTTGGAGTCAGCATTCCGTGCGCCCTGTTACACCAGTTGGCAAGTCGCAGGCGCCATTACGAAAACTTTCGACCGCGTAAACATTTGTTTCTGAGTATATAAAATGGTTCCGCTGTTTTAGAATCCCGCCGTCTGTGAAATAAGATCGGTGATTCGTTTTCTTAGTGCCGAAGACGTGAAAGCGGCTGAAATTCGTCGTCAGATTAGAGATATGTACGGAAAAAACATTATAAGCAATGGAATGGTACGGAAATGTGTTAAATCTTTTAAAGATTGCCTCATGAATGTTCATGATGATGAATGAAGTGGGCAACTGTCATTACTGAAGCTTTGGTGCAGAAAATTGACGGACGAGTAAAACAGAACTGACGCTTTAAGATTTCATCACTATCTAATGACTTTCCTCGGGTTTCACGTAGTCTTCTGTATGAAATTGTGAGCGAATGCTTAAATTATCGAAAGTTGTGAGCACGCAGGGGATGTTGAGCGCACCGAAAATGTCGACAGAGGTACACCCAAACGTTTAGGTAGTGCTTTAACTTTCCATTAGTGTTACAATTAGGAAGGTAATAAATTTTAAGCCAAATTTTCACCAGGCGACAAAATCTGGGGGGGGGGCTTTCGCTACACCAGAATCGAAACAGCAATCCATGGAGTGGCGACATTCATTATCATCCAAGAGAGTGAATCTTAATCGAATCGTTTCAGTCCAGAAAATCATGAGTACTGGGGTTTGAGACAAAACAATATTTGGCATGCCCTGCTCCACGTGACCCTTTATGGTCCGTTGTGGTTTGAGACAGGAAGATGCTGCTGCTTGTGGAGATTTTGCCTCGTGGTAATAGAATAAAATCTATGACGTGTTATGAGATCTTAAACAAACTGCGCCCTGCAATTCAAAACAAAAGGCATGCCATGCTGAGTAGGGGCATGGCTTTACTTCATGACAATGCCCGTCCACACGCGGCTAAACAAAGTCAAGATCTCATAGCGTCATTTCGCTAAGAACAACTTGATCACCCTCCGTACAGTCCCTATCTAGCGCTGTGTACTTTCGCCTATTTCTGCATTTGAAGAAGTATCTGGGTGGTCTTCGCCACGATGATGAGGTCAAAACTACCGTGTTGCAGTGGGTGTCAATTCAAGCGGCAGACTTCTCTGAAGAAGGTATTCAAAAACTAGTTGTACGATACGATAAGTGCCGTAATATTGCCAGAAATTATGTCGAAAAATAGACTGAAGTACAGATTTTCATATACAATTTCAATTGTTAACAAAATTTCACTTGCTTCTTTTTTTTTTTTTTTTTTTCAAATATTTTTTTTTTCACTTAAAAAACATACCTCGTAGATTGGACAACGGATTAAGGTAAAGCACACAAACATTACTTGCTGCGGAAGATATGCTTTTGTGAAACTAAACTTTTTATGCGAACTAAAAGGATGGTGGATGATGACTCTTCACACCCAGGGTTTGGTGATTGGGTCCCCTAGAAACTCCAATCGCCCTTTAAATGGGGGAGTATATAAAGTATTTCTCCCACTTTCTTGGAATGCCTTTGTGGTGTGGTGGTCTGCCCGCTGGGCGCGTATTCCAGAGGTCCGCGGTTCGGTTCCCGGCGAAGGCGTTGCACATTTTTCATCTTGCCTGCTTCCAATTAACCTAATGTCTCTACAGGTTTTGTAAAGAAAACTTGTTCATGCTAAATCACAAGTGATAAAAAAAATCATTAAATTCTAATGCAGTTAACCCATTCAGTCTGGGAAAACATAATAGAGAGAACTTCAAATCTCATTCACTTTCATTGCATAATCGAAGACGAACTAATAGTGCTCAGTGATATCATCTGTCCTTTCGTCCAGTGACTGGCAGGACAGCGTTTGCCAACAACCTTCATATGATGCTCTTTTAAGTGTGTCTGAATTTTTTTTTTTTTTTTACTTTAAATACACGTTTTAAAATATTAATTGTTTCTATTTCCAAAGTCCTAACTAGGCGAACTAGAATTTTCTGCAATGAAAATACGGAAATCCGAAAACAAAAGTAGACTGGAGCATATTTAAAGTGACGTTTTGATCTCTTAACTGCAACACCCCATCTTAAAGAACTCTGCGGACAATACTTCAGGTAAAATCATTTCAACTTATATTGCTCACACTTTGAAAAGTGATAGCGAAACACGATCAGAGATAAAGAGATAAAGATCAGAAGTGTTCTGATTCTGATTTTGGAAGTGTATTTAATACATGGATGTCATATTAGACGAAATGAAAGTTTTAACATTTAAAAATAAGCTTAAAATCATTTAAATTTGCTGATACTGAGCATTTAAGGAACTACTAAGAGATAATTTCAGAAAAATTTCGACAATTTACAGAAAAGTTTTTTTTTTAAGAACTTACCATTTTGTTCAAATTATTTTTCTAATAAAGAAGAATAAATAGAGTCCGTTTAGTTTAAAAAGTTAAACATTCGAAACATATTAAGCCGGTTTATTATTAGAAAATACGTTAAAAGTCCCACAAACAAACTTATTGACGTGTTTATTGCTCAAATCCTGTCTTAATCAATCTTTTGTTTTAGTTGACTGCTATAATGATCTAAATACGTTTGTATTTTAAATTTAATTAATTTGGTTAATTTTTATGTTGCTTAGCTTTTTTTTTCATTTCTAAACATTTCTGGATATTCTTCTGAACATCACATAACATCACACCAGGATTATGGAAATTAGGAAGACGCCAGTGGTTAAGCTCTAACACATCTCAACATAGTTCCTAAGCTAGTGGCAGTGTATACGAGAAAAGGAGTCAAAATTAGGCGTGAGGATGATTCTTTAAAATGTTACCCTGTAAAGACTGAAATACGAAGTTCAGGAAGAATGTTTATAGACGCTTCCTCTTTTATATCTTCATGCTTTTAAAACCATTGTTAATGACTAGTTTCGATGGTTTTACCGGTATTTGCGGTTTTGAAGCTGAGGATGGTGGTTCGGTAACCATCGAAACTAGTCCTGTAAAAATTTTGTAGCTATAACGCTGATTTTTGTTGTTTGACTTCTGAATTAGTATTTATTCGGCGTGTTATTGTGTCTTAATCATTGTTAACGAATTAATGAATTTATGTGACATTATATTTTTATCTTCTCTAAAACATTTGTCTAGGTGGACACATATTTGCTAGAAAAAAGGGATAATTTTCAGAAAATCAGGTTTGAATTCAGAAACATATAATATTGCAACATATGAACATTAAAAATTATTACAGAATTTCGCATTCGAAAAAATAAAATAAAATGACGTACCAAAAAGAAATGGCCATCTGTCCTCCGTGCCCAAAATTTGTGGTAAACCTAAGACTTGAGACACTAAAATGGATATGGTGATCACCAATTGATAAATAGTACCAACCGCTCCTCTAAGATGTAGTGGTGAGATTTCTGCTAGGTACATCGGTGCCAGACCGGCATTTAAACCTAAAGTTACGAAAAAAAAAAAAAAAAAAATTAATTCACTTCTCTTCGAAAGTTTTAAATATAAATAATGCACGTATGCTTTCAACAGGATATTCGCCGTGAAAAAAGGCAATAGAAAAAATAAGTACCGTAAAACTCCAGGTATTCAGACTGCTTGTTCTTTTTCAAGCGCAAGAGAATACAGTTTTTATTTTGTATTTATTTATTTTGTTTAACTTTAGATGACTTAGATATTATGGAAGGATAATGCAGCAAAATACGCATTTTCTAAGCAGCTATTACCTTTATTCAGTTGAAGTGTTTATATGCCTATTGGTCTACGATATCTGAACAAATACGTGGCCAGTAAACATTAATGGAAAAGCAAGCACATTTCTGTATACTGGCTGATGTACTGTTTTACTACATCTTGTTTAATTCAAGAGCCATTTCTTGATAGATTAAAAAAAATTCTTTATTCAGTTTTATAGAAAAGGCAAAAAAGGATTGTGATTAAGATTTAGGAGAGGAAATAGCAATTACTTTCATTCTTTTAATTTAGTTGAAATAGAAATAAATTTTTTATACGAATAAATAACAATTACTTCATTTTATTTTCTTAAAAAAAAGTGTATTCTTCAGTTTGTTTCACAGAATTAAAATATTCTACACTCGTGCTAAAAAATAAGCAACAGAAGCTTAAAAGAAAAGGCTCGATTATAAAAAGGGGAATTAAAACATACAGTTCACATATGAAGTACAGGTTGTATCACCGAATGCAAGTAGATAACCAAAATTAGCATGAAACACAATCCCGAAGTCACACCACAACGCCTTAAAAAGTGGCATCCGGACCTATGCTTCAGTTCAGAAGCAAGGATAGTTCCGTGTAATCCGAGATAGCCAAAATGCAAACCATAAACCGAAGTCATCATTTGCACGATTAAATGAGTTGGAAGGCTGTAGGGATGTTGTAAGCTGGTGCAAGACAGCTTAATCTGCATCGTAGTGTCATCAGTAGACTGTGTAATCGTTACCAAAAGGATCAAAACCCCTGTAGAAGACGTGGGTGTAGACGCCGGACGATTAGCACAACGAATAGAAGGTCACTTGCTGCTGCTAATGTGCAAGACGGCGTAGATTAATAGCATGACCACACTTGGTGTCGCATCTCTCTGCTGCTGCAGGACAGTCCATATTCCGCCAAACTGTGTCGCGTCGACTGCATGAAGGTGGACTGTACGCCCGATGACCTGTGATTTGCGTTCCTTCGTCCCCATCGCATGTCAGAGTGCGGTTAAATTGCAGGCTCGTGAACATCGCAGTTGGACAGCAGAGCAGTGGGGTCATGTACTCTTAACGGATGATCATCAATTTAGCATCCAGAACGATTCCCAAAGGGCGATTATATGGCGAGAGCCAATGACACGTTATCGGACGTCAAACATTGTCGAAAGAGGAGGAGGCTTACTTTAATGAGCTGGTATAGTAACGAGCGGTCGCACGGACCTCTGCGTGATTCCTGGTGGTTCTGCCACTGTCCTCTGATATCGCGACGGAATTCCACATCTTCTAACGCGCCCTTTTATATCTGTAATGGGTACCGATGCGATATATGTGGACGAAAGCGCCCGCATAGAGATCGAGTGGTGCGGAATTATCTCGAGAGAGAAATCCTTCCACATCTGCTGTACCTTGCTTTATCACTGGACCTGAATCCCATACAGCATATGCTGGACATGTTGGGACGACGGAAAGCAGGTGGCAGTGTGTCGCTAGGCACCCTCCAAGAGCTCTGACATGCATCTACAGGAACAGGCGCTACTGCCAGAACAAGCGATCAGAGATACTATTGAAAGCTTTCATCGCCGTTGTCAAGCATGCATTTCAGCTAACAAGTACCATACCCGTTATTAGCGTGATGTTTCCATTGCGCATACTTCCGACCCATTTAGTCTTACGCGATGTCATGGTTGCAATACATGTGTTTTTAAATGTTGTAATATCCTAGCTAAGCTACATTTCTTGGTAAGCTACTGAAGAATTGTGTAGCGACTATTCGCTGAGTTCATGTAAGTAAGAAATCCAAAGAAGGGTTAAATTACCCTTTAGTTCAACTAAAAATGAATTAACAGATGGCCCCTCATGGGCCTCCACTTGGGCTTTAACTCATAATAGAAAATATAAAACTAATCTAATGCTAAATAAAATTAATTAGCCGAAGCTGCATAGAATCAACTAATAGAGTTGGCCGTTAAAGAAAACCGGCATATAGTAGTAGGCACGTAGAAGTACGGCCGTAGAATACTAAGAATAATAGCAACAAAGTGGCCTAAAGGCAGAACACTCTTTCCTACTGAAGTGAGCCACACTTCAGCTTAAATACTCGTTTCGCCCTCATTTGCATAAATCATAATCCTGAAAACTGATTCTGGCAGCGAAACGTAGGTGTGAAATTAGAATGCACAGGAAAGGCTTGTTCAAAAATAAAAATAACTGCTAAAAAATTAAAGTAAAACCTTACAGTGTCTTTTCTTTACTGTTTCCTATGTGGTCTGTTAATGCCACACCAACCTGCTGGATCAGTTTCACGCATAATCCATTAAATAATTTTTATTTTATTCCGCGTTTTGCTTTGTTGTTTATTTCTTGAGCAGACGTGTATTATTTTAATTGCGTGCGTTATATATATATATATATATACATATATATTTGAAATCACATACGCTAAACAAAAATTTAAATTCTCACTCTTGCATTTCAATAAATACGTATTCTGATTAGCCGAATATTTGGAATACCCAGATAGGCTTACGCCCGGTTTTAGTTTACGTGGCACTTAACTATACAACAACAACAAACAAGAATAACTTTAAAAAAATCTGAAGGCTTTCAAATGTTATATTACACCCTGGCGTTTAATTAAATGGCGTTTTTTTAACTTTTTTGTGTTACCTTAATTTATTAAATATCATGTTCTTTGCTCTTAAGGCACAAAAAATTCCATTCAACAGGAATATCACAAAATATTTAAAAACAGCATATCTTCAGAATTTCTGATACACAGTCTCGCGCGCTGGAGATAATTTTTTTTTCTTCCTGTACAGTGTTGCTGTTGCTCGATTTGAAATCGTTGAGTTTGTGATTAAAAAAAATTCATTAAATTTTTACAAAATTTGAAAAAGATAATAAAACAAACTCAAAATTCGGGCTTCCAAATGCCCATGTTCAGTTGGAAGACTACGCTATTCAAAATTTGATGGCGCTAGGTACCGTTGTTCTTTCACAATGCGAGAAACATTCATGCATTCATGCAGATTCTTCATTATTGCTTTTTTAAATATAATACATGGCGATAATATTTGATGACAACAGTTTGAAAAGTAAATCGACTCAAAATGTCGCTATGAAATTAATAGCCCTTCTGGGCTAACGCTCTTTAGGCTAAAAAAAAGAGAAAGACGGGGAAGGAAAAGGTTAATATTAAAATTAAAGTTTTTTTTTCCTATGAAATTATACGTTTTTCAGTATGAGTTTGTCTTAATAAAAATTTGAGACTATCTTTACTCAACGTATTTCATGAATATGAAAGTTGAAGGTGACCTAAGGACCAAAGTTTTGTTTTAAAGAGCCCAAAAGTTTTATAAAGTCATTATGATTTTTAGCTACAAAAATTAAATGCGCTGTCGCCGAGAGTCGAGCTGTAGACACTTCAAATGCTAACTGGATCGGCTAACCACTACACCACAAGAAATATAAGAGAAATGCCTTTTATTTTTTTCATTCTCTCTTCTACTCCAATAAAAGACAAATGAAGGGAGAATATGAGGCCTTCTAGGTCAGGTTAAGGTATTGACAAGAGGTATTGATTCACCTTTGCATTTTAATTCAGGAGCCGCTGTCGAGTCATAAGTGGTTTTATTATTATTATTATTATTATTTTATCTTGAGATATTATTTGTGCCTTCGCATGGAATCAAACTTGAGATCTTTCAAATACTAGCTGGATGTCCTGATCTCTACACCATAAGAACACGTAGAAGATATACTTTTGATTTCTTACGAGCTTGGAAGCAAACGGTTAACAAAATCATTTACATGTCTACATAAATCTAATAGAAATAAAGTATCATAATTCTCAGTTTACAGCAGACATTATAACTAAAACCGATATTAAATATTAATTCTATGCCATGATACCAGTGTGTTAAGTGAAGTAGATCTGAAGTTCTAATGAGTTTTGAGTCAAGGAAGTAATATGAAATAACAGGTGATGGTAAAGCAGAGCATGGTATTCAATGGAAAAACAGGTAAAGAGATTCGGCTTATAAAATTTAAAAAAATGTTATTTAGTCATAAAGAATTAACATCATCCCCCTATATGTGGTTTTGTAGTATAAGTGGTTGGCCGATCTAGATAGCAACGTGGTTCAAATATCGGCGATGGCACAATTGATTTTTCATACCTCCTAGCTTCAGGAAAAATTTTCAGTTTCCGCACAACTATCTATTGAATGGTATATAGTTGCATTCAGCAGCGGTGATAAAACAAGAAAGTAGTTGTCTCAACTGCTGTTGATGAAAATACCGATTTCACTCTAGGTGGATATAAATTAGCAGACGGGGAGACACTTCACAAAAACATATTTATGATGCCGTCCGGACTAAACATTATTGAAAACTTGGTGCACAAAATAATCATTTAAAGTTTGCCATATTGTTTTCTTCTTAGGGGTTAAGGAGATGGGTCAGATGTTGATCTGCTCCTTTTTATTAATATCTGAATATCTATCATTTTATATTCGTATATAATAAATGAACTTCATTTAATTAAAATTAAATGGAAATGCAAAAGATTAGAAATGGTTTATACTTTACCTGAATTGAATCCAATAAAAAATCGACCTAGTATAAGCATTTCATACGATTTGGCAGCTTTTGATGATCCCATAAACACTGCTGCAATGACCACAAATATGTTGTTTAGCAACAGTCCGCCTTTTCGGCCGAACCTTTCGGCGATGAATGCTGTCATTAGGGCTCCAGCCATACCTCCGACACAAAATATTGACACCAGTATAGAAAAGATGAATGTTACTGTGCCTTCGCCAGCAGCAACTTCGTACCTTTCATAATATGTATCATTGATAAACTTTTGAATCAACTGAAAGAAAACGGAACCATGTAAGATTTTGACAAATGTACGCAAGTACTGGGCAAGAAACGAACACATTACGTGGCTGTGAATGCAAGAGTCATCTATTAGCTTTCATAAAACTTAACCTTGAACAGATGATACATATAATTTAATTTCTCTTTCAGAAATATTAGATATTCTCGAAAATATCAGTTTTCAGCCAAATTGGGTAAAAATAAATAAATAAATAAAATAAAGGTTATATAACCATTATTTCATGATACAAGCTAACATCTAAACAGTGCAATTTCAGGCAAGTGTAACTTGATCATGAATATGAGAAGTGTCCCCTTCTTGACGCAATATATGTGGGGTTACTTTACAAAAAGAACATATAGTAGAGCACGACTTAAACATAACTAAATGCTTTATTTTACTAATAGGAAATAAAATGAATAAAAGATAAGTGAATGCGAATGTTGCAGGCAATCTCAAAATAATTATACTCAGTCCAAACAGTTCTACAGGATTCGAGTAACGTAATGGTGACTAATATTTCTCACACACAATTAATCCTCAATAAATACATTCAAAGGGCACATCTTGCCCTCATATGGCTAACTCGATGTAAGCATCTTGGAGGATCTGCAGGCCGTCTGCATGCTTCTATTCCATCTCGAAGCTATCGGGCTCTGCGCGTCGAACCAACACCTCCTAACAGAAGAACCTTCTGTAAGGAGGTGTTGGTCGAATGCGTCTCGTCCTCAGCACTTCCAACGGTCGTCTGCCGCTCTGCAAATTGAGCTAAGCTGTGATGACGTCAAGCCTTGCTGAGTTAGAAGTAGAAGTAAAGGTAGTCGAAGAATATGGTTCCTACATATTAAAAAAAAAAAAAAAAAAAAAAAAAAAAAAAAAAAAAAAAAAAAAACACCTTTTAGCTTGTTCAGTATCTCTTCTGGCTTGTTGTATAAAACGCTTTAAATTGTGCTCCCTTCTTTAAGTATTAAAAGTGCGATACTGGAGACTGACGAAATTTGAGCAACAAAGTGCAACTTAAATAGTGAATGCAGACAGCATGATATCTTCCTTATGTATTGTATTGGCTTTTTATTACATTTATTAAATTTGAAGTGATTAGAATATATATTGAACAATTATACTTACTGTAAACTCTAATGAAAACTTTAAAATAATATTATTCCCGTAAAACTTGAATTGCCTTTGGTTTACAGATTAACCAATGTTCAGAACAGCTAGTGTATCTAGCGAAAAATCCAGCTTATAGATGACAGGTTTGTGCCACACTTTTTAGAAAACAAATTAGAGACATTTTCAGTTTCGTTAGGAAACTTGTCGTGATCTCATACACTCATGCTAAAAAAATAAGCAACAAGCGCTAAAAGAAATTCTTGTAATATAATAGCTAATTTGACAGTCCTTGAGAGCTAGAAGAATATTGAAGAGCTGTGTTGCGACTTATCGCAGAGTTCTAATCAATAAGGGTCCAAAGTCTCTAACACATTTTATCATGCCAAAGTCTCCGTTTGGCATGATGAGATGTGTTGGAGGGCTGTCGGGTTATTGCAAGCTAGTGAAAGACCAAACCGCGGTTGCGAGAGAGTTTAATGTGAATCGTAGTGCCATTAATGGGCTGTGAAATCGTTGCCAAAGCGATTAAAACTCCATGTAGAAGACGTGGGTGCAGATGCCGGAGAATTACTACAACGGCAAATTATCACTTCCTGTGGTTATGTGTAAGACGCCGTAGATCACAAACAGCATGACATATGGCATCGTATCTCGTAGGACGTAGGATGCTGTAGGACGGCCCACATCCCGCCAAAATGTGTCTCATCGACTGCATGAAGGTGACTGTAAGCCCTACGACCTGTGCATTTTGTTCCTTTGTGCCCATCGCATGTTACAGCGCAACTGAATTGGGCCCATAAACATCGCACGATGAAATACGTTGAAGTTGTTGACACTCTTAGATTGCATTTGGACACTAGAGCAGTAGGGTCACGTTCTCTTTCGCACGAGTCTCGATTTAACGATTCCTGAAGGGCAATGGTATGGCGAGAGCCAGCGGCATGCTATCGGGCGCCAAACATTGTTGAAAGTGACCAGACAGAGGAGAAGGCTTACTTGTATGGTCTGCGATAGACACAAATGGCCGCACCGACTCCTAGGTGATTCCTGAATATTCTGTCCCAGCCGTCCGATATCGCGACGAAATTCTGCACCCTCTTGTGCGTCCTTTCATCACTGCAATGGCTACCGACGAGATACTTATGGACGATAACACCCGTCCGCATAGAGCTCGAGTGGTGCGGAATGGTCTGTAGAGTGAAACCATTCCACATCTGCTGTAGCTTGCCCGATCACCGGACATGCATCTACAAGAATAAACGCTACTGCCACAGCAAGCGACCAACGACACTATTGTCAGCTTGCCTCGCCGTTATCAAGCACGCATTTCAGCTAAGCAGGTACCATACCCGTTATTAGCGTGATGTTTGCATTGCACACTCTTCCGACCTATTTGGTATTTCGCGATGTGATTGGTCGTACTACATGTGTTTTTATGCTTTTTTGTTTGCTATCTGGTCTTGTAATGCCACACCAACTTCTTGGATCAATTTCACGCATATCCATTAAATAGTTTTTATTTTATTCTGTGTTTTGCCTTTGTTGCTTTTTAGAGGAAGTGATATTCAAATAACTTTTCAATCCATTCTTTTGATGTTATATTTTACACGAGAGCTTCTAAGAATGTAAGCAAAATTAAATGGTTTTGGTTTAACCCTAGATTATAAGTTCCGTGATTAAAAACACATTTTGTTCGGTTTTCGTTTTTTTTTCTCCCCCCCCCATTTAGCCATAAATATATTTTGTTTCCTTTTCGTAAATCTAAACTGAATAAATTCTACTTTCATGAATCTTACTTTCTTTTCTATTAAAAAGGACACTTAAGAAACATATGTTAGAATTTGTTTCGGAAATTTAATGTGTTATGATATACTAAAGACACAATATCGCAGTCTTTCGAAAATTTTATTTGTTATTTGTTAGATCTTCAGATATCTGTTCTAACATATTTAAATATAAAAGCAAGACATTATGATAGTTTTTACTTTTTGTTTGTTCAAACAACTTTCACTACTGTATAAACTAACTTTTAGTAGTATTAATATTTAATATAATTTCAGATTCCTCATTTATAATATAATTTTTACAACTGCCATGTTAGGCTCAAACACAGTTACTTCTCTGTAAACTAAAATGTAACAGTTCATGAGTTAAAAAAAGTTAAATAAATTGCAATTTCTGCAGGAGAGAAGAAAGAGATTCAGGCAATGACACAGATTCGACTTCAAATCCTAAAAAACCGTTTATATTAAAGAACAAGAGTATTTTTTCTTGACTTTTATGTCAGTCAAGTAGGTTGAAAGGTATCCTAATACTTTATAAGGAATAAGAAAATTTGATATAACTTTATAAGAAAAAGAAAGAGCTTGCATATATAAGACTGCCTGCCGTGTCAAAGAAATCTGTGTATTTGAAAGTGCTTTTCAATAATAATAAAAAAAAAAAAAGTTTGCATATAAGAAACGATTTACCGTGTAAAAGCAGTCTGCATATTTGACGGTACTTTACAAGAAAAGGCGAAATATTGCTTATAATAGACGCCCTCACCCATCTAAACAATGTTCTTGAAAATGTAAGTGAAAGATGTAAATACCGTATTTGAGCTAAATTCAATTACATACATTTCCTGTTCACGTAAAGATCTAGGAACAAGTGAAAAATTGCTATTACATATTTTTAAAACATTACTGCTAGGGGTATGACATCAGTATGATTTTCAGAAGGGCATTTTGAGGAAGAAAATGTCGTCTTATATGATTGCTAAAAGACGCCTATTTCTACTGCTCCTTTTTTTTTTTTTTTTTTTTTTTCTTTTTTAAGTTATATCCCTATCGTGTTTAGAAGCTTGTTGTTAGGATCAAAACTATTTGAATAGCATTTTAGTTAAAGCTAAGGAAAAAATATACTGATTTCAGTGTAAGCTCTAAATTTATACAAAATCCATATACATAACGAATAGTAACATAGTTAAACATCACTTGAATCTTATAAATAACTTTTTTTTTATCTTTGAATGGATTAGAAAACTATTAGATATGTTAATTAATAAAAATACCACATTCAGTTTTTGTTAATTAATAAAACAAGACTTTAAATGCATACTCATAAATTAGGAATATGTTTATCCAAGTCATCAGCGTTTTGTTTTTGCTTCCTTCAATAAGTAAATTCACTTTTTTTAAAAAAAATTCTGAGTATTTTTATGCACATAAAAGAAAGTGAATTAAAACGACTGAGCCAACACTTTGCACAACAATTCATAATAAATCTTTATCATATATTTTAATTCTTCCTTTTACCAATTTTCGCGCTTTATTGTGTAATGTACAGGTAAAAGCGAGTTACTCAACGCAAACCAATTGTTAGCTTGCAATAATAAGCTTTAAATTGAGTATGAGCTATTTCAGCTTTCATTCTTTAATCAAAATTATGTTCGGTGTCTATCATTTTAAAAAAAAGGGGGGATATTTTAATATTTTACGGTGCTTAAAACTACTCACTATCATATGGAAAATCAGGTTTTGTTTGAAGTTAGGAAGTAAGATAATTTAAGGAAATTAATTACCAATTGTGGAATATTTGTGACACCTGTATTGTACCCATGTTGGAATGAAGAGCCAAGGGCAGCTGCAGCAATGGCGAAAACTAAATGACTTGTCAAACCCTGGAAAGAAAAGAAAAAGGTATTAAAATTAACGTCGAAACTGCTAAAAAATCTCACTGTTAAAAAATCGTAACAAATCTCTCTCGTTCAGAAAAAATAATGTCGATATGAAGATAAAGTGACTATAGTGCTTGTTTGTATGCAGCAATAAGTTATGTTTTAGCATGTCTCATTTGTCGCAGGATAGCCAAAGAAGCAGATTTTACCAGTTTGTTAATCACAGATTCAGAATTTTGACTGGAATTGTTTGTCCTTAATTTGACTATAAAGCATAATTATCTGAAAGTAATATCGCACTTCGAATTGTTTTCAACTAGAAAAGGGTACAGCAATGATTTTTCTACTCGGTTGAGTTGTTGAGCTGACTAATGCATTTTTTGAATTATAAACCGCTGCATCATACAGTAATTTTATAAATTCTTCGTCTCGTTCTACCTTGAAATTCTGTCTGACGTTCTGTCTGGAAGGTAAGATCGCTTACCTCTAATAATTCAGGTGATTCGACTTAAAAAACATTGGTAATTGTAATGGCTGGGATGCACTCTTACAGACTGCAAAAGCTTTGCTGCTTCCACTAGTCGAAACAGGAATAGTCAATCTGGTCCCTACTGCCCACTAATTTACGATTTGAGCTTTCGGGATGGGCTGTGGAGGTTCTTGTCCAATAATGGTGAAGGAAGATCAAAGCATGCTGAGATATGTTGATATATATACACTGTAGAGACATTAGGTATTTTTTTTTGGAAGCAGGAGAGATGAAAAATAAACAACGCCCTCGCTGGGAATCGAAACACGGACCTCTGGATTATGCGCCCAGCGTGCTGATCACTGCCCTACGAAGGCATGCTAAGAAGGCGGGAGAATCATCATCCACCACCCTTTCAGTTCGGGCGCCAATGTAGAGACATTAGTTTATTTGGAAGCAGGAGTCATGAAAAATGAGCAACGCCTTCGCCGGGAATCGAAACACGGTATATTCTTATAGTAGATGCCGCTTAATCTGATAACATTTGTTCAGAGTTGTTTCAATAACACTATGCAGATGTATTACTAGCACTGTAGATAAGAAAAAATTTTCTATATTATATATATATATATAGATATATATAGGCAATTTAACTAACTAAATTGAAATATGAAAGAAATATCCACATAGAGATATTTATAGTATTTAACTAACTATAAAAGTTAAAACAATGTTAAGTCAGGAATAATGGACTCCTTGTTACCTAAAAGTTCGTTACAATCTATTAGCATTCGATAATAATATCCGAATAATAGTAACCGCTACCACATGAAGCAGCAACTAATATATTAGAATACAGTAAATAAACTATAATTTTTATTCGTTTCGTCAAACCCGGCAGTATTTAAAACCTCGTGCTTTAATTACATGTCACTTATTGCAGCGTTTCTCAATCTGTGGCCCGTGGACATAAGTAGTCCTCGAAGCCTGCCCTTGTGGTCCTCTTAGATTTCTAAAAAGGACAAAAATAAAATTCAAATTATCTGCGTATACCACACTATAGTTGAAAATCTCAGAGTTGAAAATTACATTTGCCAATCGTATACAACTTTTCACCCAAGACTGACATTTGTCAGCCTGTCTACCAGCTTCGAACTCTAGTCTTATTAACAAAAGAAGTGCATCCATTCTGATTAATATTACTACCAACATTTATTTAATTTTTAGTTATTAAATAAATGTTGGTAAAAATATTAATGAGAATGGAGGCACTTCTTTTGTCAATAAGACTAGAGTTCGAAGCTCGTAGATAGGCTGATAAATGTTAAAAACGAATATAAACCATCTGTTGTGAACTTATTATTTAATACCAGTATGGAATTAAAGGAATTTTAGTCAATAGTATTTTAAACACATAAGTATACTAGTAGTTACATATCCTAAAAAATTGCTTTAGAAGGCGACAAGAGTAAGCTGGTCCGCAGAATATATAAAAACAGTCCACACTTGGAAAATGTTTGAGAAACGCTGACTTGCTGCATATATTAAATAAACACAAACTGTTGAAACTAAAATTTTACTATGCATAAATTGTAATTGATTAAAAGGTACTTCAAATCTATCTCTCATAAAATTAATGAGTTAACTCAGTGCCTAAATAACTTTTATTATGACACTTCCTAAAGTGAAACTTACGGAGACAGTCGCAATGACAATTCTAACCACAATCTGTAAACTTACAGATATCCTAACTTCCATCTATTTTCCATAAATTTATGTCCTTTCCTTGTTCTTCGATTTAATAATTCAGCCGTTTTGGAAAGCAATCTAAGTGGCTGCATAGGTAATGAGATCTGATACTCCTGTTAAATGTACTAACATTTGAGTGCATGTCTCTTAGTTTTTTAAATCGCTTGTCAAGAATATTTTTGATAACTAAGATAAATAAAGTTATCAAAAATATTTTTGATAACTAGGCATGAGACGTAGTCGTTTGCAAAGAATTTACAAAATGTGAATCAATCGCTTATAGTTTGTCTTATCTGGGAATCATTAAAAATTTCTGCTGACGGTTTCAGAGAACTCATTTGACAGATATATAAAGTATCAGACTTCTGAAACTAATGTGAATTGTTTATAAGCTTTAATTTTATATGTAACGGTGGCAGGATAATTTTTGTTTCTGTCAGTGAAAGGTTCTTTAATTGCATTTTGTTCTCCATCTATTATAGCTTTAGTTATAGCCAATTTATTCTAATACAGTAATTATTATTATTATTATTTGCTTTGCTTTCTGTTTTTCAAAGACACAGGAACCACGCAGACACAGGAGCTTAAAATGCATCCATTTTAAGCTCAACATTCATAGGTCTACAGGAATTATTCATCAGTGTTCTTAACCTTTCATATTTTTCAGGTCGAAATAAGTTGCTTGGCATTTTTCCTTCTCACGTATTGAATGTCCGATTACAATGGTCTTAATTTATGGCCTTTATTGATAAAAATATAAATATAACTTTGTTTGCAACTATCTTTTGGGTATTATCTATATACCACGTAACGAGTTTTTCCAGAATTCCAAAATTCGTCCTTTCGCGGTTCCTCCTGTGATCCAAATAAGTACCGTTTTATCCGCTGCTATCTCCCTTTGCAGCAACTCCGCCTAGCAGAATCTTTCCGTTTCTTCCGTTGCTCTTCCCCATCTCCCTCACATGGAGGTAGGAAGTACCTCCATGCCCCCTCATTAGTAGTAGGCACTGATAGTAGGCTGCATTTTCCCCGATTCATCCCCTTTTGAAAAAGTCGTTGTTGAGATGGGTAGTTATTTGTTGAGACAGGGAGGGAAAATTACACTATAAATGCCATTGGGCTTAATACACTTAACAATCTGATCAATACACTAACATGTTAATGTGAAGTAATTTCAAAACGACGCATAGGCGTGAAATACAATTCTGTTTTCAATTATATGTTATTCTTAATTTGTTTTTGAAGTAGAATTTCTCCGAGAATTCTGAATTTAAATAATTTCATTCATCTCGGTTTAAAATGCGATCAAGAGTTTATCGAAATCGTAAGTGATCATCGGGCTGTAATATTCGAAGGTTCATACATTAAAAAATAATTTTCTAAAATAAAAGTAAACCGTGCATTTGCCAAGACACTCACTATAACGGAATTTGAGACAAATTCTGAAGACGATGTATTGCAAGAAAGAAACTGTACCTGCTTTCCTAACATGTATCACAAAGAGTAAAAAAAAAAAAAAAGGTTCGCGAAGAACTTATTCCAGTTCGGCAAATTTATACCGATACTCTATCATCAGCATGAGAAAATGTTTCTGTGACTTCTTTTTTAATGCTACGAATGCTATGACATCTGCTTAAATTGCATTCTTGTGTTTGCGAAACTGAAATATATAGTAAGAAATATATAGTAACTGAAATATATAGTAAGAAACATCTATCACTATCATCTTGTAAGAATTATCTTGTAAGAATTATTATCTTGTAATAATGTAAAACATACCCTTGTGCTTCTTTATATAGTGATAAACATACATCGTGTTATTCCAGTTTTTAAAGATTATAATTAAATACATAGATAATAGAATTCTAATAAAAGTTTGTAACTGTATGAATATATATTTATAATTATATTATAAGGTATATCTTCCGCTTTTCTAGCGTGCCTTCGTAGTGTAGTGGTCCTGCACGCTGGGCCGATATTCCAGAGGTCCGCGGTTCAATTTCCGACGAAGGCGGTTGCTAATTTTTCATCTAATCTGCTTCCAAAAAATACTTAATGTCTCAACAGTGGCGCCCGAACTAAAAGGGTGGTTGATGACGATTCTCCCAACCCAGGATTTGGCGATTGGGTCTCCTAAAACACCAGTAGTCCTTTAAAAGGGGGGAGTATATAAGGTATTTCTCCCGCCTTCGTGGTGTAGTGGTTCTGCACGCTGGGCCGGTATTGCAGAGGTCCGTGGTTCGATTCCCGGCGAAGGCGATTGGTCATTTTTCATCTTGCCTGCTTCCTAAAAATAACCTAATGTCTCTACAATAGGAATCTCAGAATTCGTCGTTTTTAGATTTTAGGTATATGTAGTATTATATAAATTCATCATTCATTAATAGTGGTATGTACGAAAATTATTATTAATGTTTCAAATTTTAGTTTTTAAATAATATGTTTTACATTTATTATATATTTGTTAACTACGCATTGTCATATATCAGTTATAAACAATGACAAATATACACAAAATAGTTTATGTAACAGCTGACTATGAAGGAAAAATTATGGTTACATTGTTTTTAAATTTTTCTTAATATAAAGAGCAACTTTTGTAATTGATATTAGATTAAATTAACTTAATTATCTATTAGAAAAATTATAGTCAATCCTCTATTGACCACATCTCTAAGAGGTTGCTTTCTGAAAGAGATTTGTATTTCTTTCAAAGAAGTGAAATCACAATTCTACTCGTATTGCTTTAAAAGTAAGCAAAATAATAAAAATTAAAAAAAAGATA